GCTGGCAGTGCGCATGCGCCGCGTCGGCGTGCGGAACGTCGCGGTCTGTTGGCGCTTTTGCGCGCGGAAAGATGGCGGAACAGGCTACCAAGTCCGTGCTGTTTGTGTGTCTGGGTAAGAGGGCGCCGACTTACTCTTGTTCTGACGTCCCCTCGAGGGTTGGATCGGGCTTGGGCGCTGTGGATTATGCCGCCGGGCTAGGAACAATGAGGGGGGGAGGCCAGGGACTGGGAGGGCTAGAGTGTTCCAGGAGTGTCTCGCAGCGCCCCCGTTCCCCATCCGCCCCGTGCACCTGCCCAGCCTGCCCTGTAAACCTGGGTCCCCTCGCACCTGCCATATATCCGGGGCTTTTGGCATTTGCAGCCACAGCCCCTACAAGCCAAGGTTCGTTCTTTGCACCTACTAGAATCCCTCTCGTTCCCCTCCAATGGGCCCAGGTAGGCCTGGGGTTGTTGGACTGATGTGGTCTCTTAGGGGCCTCCGGAGTCCTATGACAAAATTGTTTTGCTTGCTGGTTTCCTTAGGCCGTTCTTAGATATGGATCTGAGCTAAACGGAGATGAAGTTTTACGGTTTCGGGTTTCTTGATTGTAAAAGCCAAGCCAAGGAGACCTGGAGGTCCCTATATAACTTTGCCCATGAAAAATAAAAGTGTATTTTATTAATGGCTTTTAGGAACTTTCTAGCTTAAAATATTTTCACTCCTGGAATTTCAACACTTAGCTTACCTTACTTCAAACATAATTTACTTTCCATTTGGTTTTCAGGGATCTTCTTTCGGTGTAGTACTACAAGGTTATATCCTCGGTGCCTCCACCCTGAGAGGAAGGCCTAAATTGTCAGTAGTCCAGTTACTTAAAACCTTCTGTGAGTTTACATTTCCTGCAGAGTAAAATTTCTGTTTATTTTTACAGACTCCTCACTTTATCTCCTGTACCTTTGCCTGCTCACACTCTCGGGACACAGGCTTACAGAATCTTTCGTTGTTCTGTAGCACTTCACATGCTTACTGAGCCTCCATGGCTGGGTGCCCATTATGCATTTTGCCTGGAACGTCTTTTTATTTTATAAAGTCAAACCCAAATATTTCCTCCTTTGCTTTCCCAGACCATGAGTTGCTTCTTGTGATTGCTTATCGACATCCTTTATTACACAAATTTTACTATAATTATTTGGTAGTCTGTTGAAGTTCCAGCTAAGTTTAATTTTCTGGAGGGCGATAACTGTGGCTTATTTTTCATTTTGTTTCCAGCTTTAGGACAATATATGATAAACGCTGACTAGGTTTTGTAGAAGTTAATTTCTGTGAAAGAAGAGTTGGAAGGCTCGCCTTATTTCACATTGGTAGTGGGCATCATTTGATTTTTTTTTTTTTTTTTTTTTGAGGCGGAGTCTTCACTCTGTCGCCCAGGCTGGAGTGCAGTGGCGCCATCTCGGCTCACTGCAAGCTCCGCCTCCCGGGTTCGCGCCATTCTCCTGCCTCAGCCTCCCGAGTAGCTGGGACTACAGGCGCCCGCCACTGCGCCTGGCTAATTTTTTGTATTTTAGTAGAGACGGGGTTTCACTGTGTTAGTCAGGATGGTCTCGATTTCCTGACCTCGTGATCCACCCGCCTCGGCCCTCCAAAGTGCAAGGAATACAGGAGTGAGCCACCGCGCCCGGCCCATCATTTGATTTTTTAAGACTCATTGAAGGCTGAATGGAATCAACAAATTTATTAAACAGTAGTTTGGTTAAGGATGGTTACCAAATACTATTCCATTCCCTTGTATATTTCTGGTTGGTATTGTCGATTATGCTGGTATGAGGTATCATGGTTGCTGTTAATGGGGAGGTGGATCCTTGCATATGCAGTAGTCCCACTTTAGCTGTAGGTGGTACATTCCAAGACTCTCCAGTGGATCTTGAAACCGTGGATGGTACCAGACCCAATTGCTGTCAATTGGAACATGTGTCTGCTCATTTCTTCCACCCGCAAATGTAATGCCGTTTCCACCTTAACTAAGCACTTAAAACTGTGGTCGCAACTTTCGCAGTTTGAGGCGAGACGACAAACTGTCAGGAATTTCTTTTTCCTTGTTTACATTTTCATGGATAGAAGGTTTGTTCGTACTGTAGATCTTAGTAACCTCAGTATAAGATTTTTTTTTTTCTTTCCATAAGAAGTCAAAAACTTTCACCTTTTTACTTAAAGGTAGTGCTTATGGCCTCTCTGCCGTATCTGAATTGCTAGCTTCACTACTCTTATGCTTTGGGACCATTATTAGTAAACTAAGGGTGACTTGAACTGAGGAACTGTGATAGCATATCACAGTGGATCAGATAAGCAAGAGGGCAGTAGGTGGATAGACAGCATGGATACGCTGGACAAAGGCATGATTCACTTCTGGGGCAGGACGGAATGGGATGGCATGAGAATTTATCCTGCTACTTAGAACAGTGCACAATTTAAAACTTAGGAATTATCTGTTTGTGGAATTCTTCATTTAATATTTTCCAACTGAAACTGACCACGGGGTAACCATGGAAAGCAAAGCCTTGTAAAAGGGGGGAATACAATTCAATGATTTGTTGTTGTTGTTGTTGAGCGTCTACTATATGACATGCACTCCTCTAAGTGGTAGGGATATATGGAGTGGTGAACACAACAGACAAAAATCCCAGCCTCTCTGGAGCTCACGTTCTCTCAGTCACCATCCAGTGTTAATCGATGCACTCAGTCGGTTGGTATGAAGCATTAAGAAAAATAGAGCAGAAAAGGGGAATGAGAGTGGAGGGCAGTTTTGAGTGGGGTGGTCAGGGAAGGCCCCACCTGATAGGTGACCTTTGAGTAAAGACTTGAAGGAGGTGAGGAAGCAAGCCTAGGATATTTTGGAGAAGCATCCTGAACCCAGAGGAAAGCAGGTAAAGGTTTTGAAGGGAGAATACTGGCCATGGTCGTGAACCACAGGGAAGTGGCTGGGCCTGGTGGCTGGATACCTTTTCTCAGTCGAGATTCCTCATCTATACCGGAAGATTTAGCAGATAATTTGAGTGACTGTTTTCTCAGTGCTTCCATTGTAGATGTATAGGGAGAAGTTAATTCCTTATATACACTGGTCCTTTAGGGCAGGAGTCTGCAAATTCTTTGTGTAAAGAACCAGATTATAATTATTTTAGATTTGCTTCACATGCCATACAGAAAGGGTGTAGCACAAAGTACCTATGCATGTGGTGAACCTGGCTGTGTTCTAGTGGATCTTCATTTATGGACATGACAGTTGGATAGAACTCCATATAATTTTCACATGTCACAAGATACGCTACTTTTGGATTTTTTCCAACTACTCAACAATGTAAAAATTATTCTTACCGCTGTGGGCTGTACACAAAGGTGGACCATGAGCCAATTTACAGACCCATGTTTTATATCCAGATCTTGGGAGGCCATGTGAAGACTTGGGCTTACTCTAAATAAACATTGGAAGGTTTTGAGCAGAGGTGGGAAATGATCAAATTTAAGTTTAAAAAGAAGAGTTTCAGCTGTTGTTTTGAGATTAAACTGGAGGTGGAGCATGCCCTTACTGGGTGGTGAGTAGTTGCATTCTGAGGGAATTTGAGCGGTAAGTGGCATTTTATTTGATAGCCGTATAGAGGACAGTAACAGTTGTATGCTTTTGAAATGTAAAAAGTTTTGTTCCTTCAAAGCATTTATTTGGACCCTTTTGAGACTGAACTGTAGAAAAGCATCAGAGGTTTTTCACCAGGGAAGCTAATGATGGGAAATAATTGAGCTGTTTACTACAGCCCAATCTTGAAGGATGCTTTATGTTTTTGTAAGATAGAGACTTACCAGTGAAGATGATGCAGGAGCCATGACCCAGCCAGCATGGTTGGTGGAGATAGCACATGCTGGTGGAGTCGCTTTACTTCTGGGCTACACCCATACTGGGTGTTGGGTCTCTTACCAGGTATAGCAGACACAGCCCTACCCTCCCAGAGCCTACCTGTTGCCTTTTATGAGTCTCCATCCTTGAATTGAAGATGCTGAAGAAGGGTATGAAATAGTCTGCCTAATTTGGAAAAGACAAACTTGATACTTTACAGATTGAAACAGTTTTTAAAGGCATTTGAGGTTGGAGTGTTCTGTTTTTAGAACTTGTTCTGTAGGTGAAGTACATGCAGTGTTTCACTGAAGACCAGGGTGCTCCATTTTTTCATGACACAATTTGGTGGCATCAACTTTCAAAATCAACAGAGCAAACTACTACTAGCCTTCAGGACAGTTAATAATGCAAGTTTTCATATTGTTGTGGGGAAAGTGAACTGTTATTTTACAGTTAATGATAATTATTTGTAAACGTGTGGGGCTAGTCTTTATTATATTTTTAGATGCTGAGATATTAGGCAGTGTCTTAATTTAGAAATACAATGTTTGCTGTTAAAAATATTCCCAGGGTATATGGTGACAAGTAAAAGAGTGACACACCCATGGGAAGCCTTTCAGTAATTAAAATAGTGCTGATGACAATACCTGTTTAAAAAACTAAACAAAATTTAGAATGTCGAAAGGAACAACTTCACAACACAAATTGGCATAGAGAGGGCATTCAAGGCTAATTTGTTGTCTCTCCCTTTATGGTTTGTAGGTAAGATTTTTTACTGCTGTGGAAACTGCAGTCTTCTGTGAGAAAAAAATTACATAATGTGCTTAGGTCTTACAATGTAGAAACTGAAGGCTGTAGTAAGGCAATAAGTTGGTTTTCTGAATTAGGGAATTAGCTGTGTTTTACAACACTAGAAGATCCTCATTGTACTTGTTTGTCATAAACAGAAACCCTAATAATGATAAAGAGTAAACTCTTACTTAGTGCTGTCTATTCTCACAGTTCTTCTTTTTCTTATCTGTTTCCTAAATTCAGTTCCTAATGTTTGGACTCAGTATGGTGCTTTGGCATTAAGGATACTGGAAGGCCTCAGAGTAGCCCCAGAAGCAAGGTCATAGAAACGGTCATTTATCTTCCCCAACACAGATCATAGAAACTAGAACTCCTCTCCCGCAAAGCAAGCCATAAAACCTACAAAACTTCTCTCCCTTCTGCCTTCTCTTGAAGACACCATTCCAGAGGGGCCCTGCCTCATTCCTGGAGGAGGAAGTGCTGTGGCCCTGCTGGGTTTCCCTCCTCAGTCCACTACCATTGGATCATTTCCTTTTGTCCAGTTCCATTTCTACATGGCTGTGCATTGGTCATCTAAGCATCAAAACCACTTCCCTGGGTCTTTGGGTCTTCGTTTCTGAAGGCTTCCATGTCACATAAAACTGATTAAATAGATTTGCTATGTTTTTTCTCTTGTTAACCTGTCTTTTGTTACAGGAGTATCTTCCATGACCTTTATAATGGTTGAGGAATGCTGCCACACCTTTCCACTCTGACACTGTCTTGTATTTGCTCCTTCATAGGAGCCTCTTACAAAGTCTCTCCAATTCAGTAATGTGCTCTTCTAGCGTTTCCTTAGCCCTGCCAGTAATTTTGGTAACTTGTAGGAAGGGTGTATGTTTTAAACAACTTTCTGTCTTCAGGTTAGGGCACAGTGCTTGGCACATAGAGTGGGCATACAAAATATGTTTGTTGAATAAGTCATATTACCCTTTTCCATAGGACTTTCTATTTCTCCTCATAGTGGCTACGCAAAGTCCAAGTCTTGGCCCTTTGTTTTAGGCCTCCTGTATACCAGCCCATCAGTTTCCAGACACTGGCTGTCTATACCTGAAGCATCGCAGCCTCACCTGCTTAGTGCCACAATCCCCCTGAGTTAAATGCCTTTCCCTTCCTCTGTCCATTAAGATCCTGATCATCCTTTAAATATCATCTCTAATCTTTCTTTTTTCTGGTAGGAAATTTTCTTACGTCTTGTTTTTGCTTTGTAGCATCGTTCTTTTTCTGTGCTACTGTAGTATATTGCTTATTAGTATTCATTTTCCCGCTTTTATTATAGCCAACTGTGTACCTCCCATAAGTACATTGCTTGTATATGGTAGATCTATTTTGGGATGAGATCTTACGTCTTTTTCCTCTGGGTAGTAATGAATTTGGCCCTTACCTTAGCTCCTGGGAGGTAACCTCTAAATGCCCTGGTGTGTTCTAGGAGTGATGGGAGTGTCTTAGTTATTGAAGGTGGCCCCCATAGTATATATGCTCATGAGGTGACTCAGGGTGGGGGATTTGAGCCACGGGTGGGAGGGAGCCTGGAGATTGAGTTCAGCTGAATGGCCAGTGATTGAACCCATTGTGTCTCCCTCCAAAAACCCCATTAAAATCTCAGAGCACCATGCTCTGAGGAGCTTCCCGGGTTGGCAGTACCCTTTGAATATTGCCCCATGTTGATGACAGGAGGGGAAGGTGTCCCAGAGGACAGTGGAGCTACCCGTCAGGAAACCTCCCAGAGTGTGCCCTGGGGGTCACTTGCTTTGGCTGGGTTTTTTTTTTTTTTTCGTTTTTGTTTTTGTTACTGTTACTATAATGAAATTGTAATGGTAAGTGTTCTGCTTTCCTGAGTTTGGGGAGTAATTCTGGGGAATTATCAAACCTGAGGGAGCCCTGGGGAACCTGGATTTCTCACTTGCTGTCTGAAGTAGGGGTGGCCCTGGTGTCGACATCATGGTCTGGAGAGTGGTGTCCCCGACCTTGGGCTGCTGATGCCTGGATCTGTGTCCCTGGGCTTCGCGTGTGATCGCTCAGTGAATGTCGGTGTTGAATCACTGTTTATGCTTAAATGCATGTTTGTGTGTTTGTGTGTTGTTTTGTGAAACAATAGCCATCCTTATGTGTGATATACTTGAAAATACATAGTTTACCCTTGAACCACAGGGGTTTGAACTTCGAGGGATTTATTCAAGTAATTTTTTTAACCAAGCACAGATGGAAAATACCCTGTTGTCTGAATGAAAAACCCATCTATATGGAGGGCTGACTTTTCCTATACTTGGGCTCCAAATTCACAGGGGCCCCCTGTGGGACCTGAGTATGCAGGTTTTAGTATACTGGGTAGGTGTGGGAGGGTGTCCTGAACCAGCTCCCTGAGTCTTCTGAGGGACAGACCACTGTATTTTATTTTTATTCTGTTGTATTTCATTTTAAAATAAGCTGGTTGCAACCCACTTGATTTTCATGATTCGCTCCTGGATCTTTAGTAGCAGCTCTTTAAACAATAATTTTGGTTGAAATTGTTATTCTGATATCTTTGTCATCTATACTTGGAGTACTTGGCCGGTTGGTGTCAAGTCACTGAACTTGAGCCTGATGGGCTGTTCTCCAGCAGGGTCTACCCTCACTGGTTGGACAAAGGCGTCAAAGGATAGTGTTGGTGGCCTTTATTTTTCCTGAGGGATAGCACAGCCCCTGCGTGCCAGGTGTGTGAAGAGGGGGAACTGGCCTGTGCCCTTCCATCCAACCTAACCCTCTGTTTCCCCAACCCCCCCTTTTTTTAAAGGTAACATTTGTCGATCACCCATTGCAGAAGCAGTTTTCAGGAAACTTGTAACTGATCAAAACATCTCAGAGAATGTAAGTACCATTCATTATCTTAAAGAGGCCAACCTGAACTCTTCTGGGCAGGAAATTGCCAAAAAAAAATTCCATGTTTCTTCCCCTGCAGTGGAGGGTAGACAGCGCGGCGACTTCCGGGTATGAGATAGGGAACGCCCCTGACTACCGAGGGCAGAACTGCATGAAGAGGCACGGCATCCCCATGAGCCACGTTGCCCGGCAGGTACCGTCCTTGGACTTGAAGATGTGTGTTTTGTGTTTCAGTGGGTCATTGACAGCGGTGCTGTTTCTAACTGGAACGTGGGCCGGTCCCCAGACCCAAGAGCTGTGAGCTGCCTAAGAAATCATGGCGTTCACACAGCCCATAAAGCAAGACAGGTAGACAAGCTCTTGTTCCATTTCTAATATGTAGAGTCCGGTAACTTGAGAAGTAGTGAAAGGATTAACTAGACTTGTATATTAATGAATGTGTTTATTTAGGGTTAGCTTAACGAGCTACAGTGTGTCCATTTGGTTTCACTTCTGGTTGCACAGTGTTGAAAGACTTGCATGACTTTGGAATTTATTTATTAAAATGCACATAAAAGCTAGGTAATTTATAATGAGAGAGCCTGACTGCGAGCTTGGGCTGAGCAGTGCTCTGTCTTCTGTTCCTTCCTGCATAATTTTTATTAAACATTTAGGCCATAGTAATTATCCTGCCTATATTGCAAGTTTGTTGCTAGAATTAAGTTATATAATATATACAAAAACATTTTTTCAACTGTAAAGTGCCATAGTAATATAGGGTAATACCAACAACGTTATGGACACATAATTATAGTGTGTTGTGCCACACTTGAAGTTTGGAGTTTAATAAAGTCACAATCAAATTCTGCAATTTCAGTTGAAGATAACCTTGTCTTTATATTATAAATTATAAGCTAAAGTTGATTTTTCTAAGAGTTCTTTATTTAAATGAAGTACTGTGGGACTGACCTTTTCTGAAATGGAATTGTCATTGGTCAGGTGATTAAACATTTTTATACAATTTATCCATCCTAATCTCTTCAGGCCTTTGCATGCCTTGCCAGTTTCTACTGGCCATTGTTGAAAATAGATTTATTTGGAGCAGTCCTTCAGAATATGAGCACTCATACTTTGAAGTTTTATGTTTTTAAGGTCAGTTTTTTTTTTTCACTAAGTGTGTAATAAGAGTGGATGCAAATGAAGTATTTTAAAGACATATTAGGAACTTTTTTAAAGAACAGTTTTAGAAGCAGTATTTGCACATGTTTCTTGCTTTTTTTTTCCTGTTTTAAGAAATTTTTAAGGTATGTTTTATGAATCAGTATCACATCAGATCTTTGTTTAAAAGTTCTTTTCCTTTACTAATGTCACAATTTGTGTGATAACAACTATTGTACATTTCTTAAAATCTCAATTTTCTCAGTGCCTTTCAACCTGTGTTTAATAAATGAAATATTTTTAGGGTGCTTATTTTTAACTCTTACAGTTAGTCTTTTAGAATACGTGAGCTTTCTGCCCAGTTAGTTCAAAGGAGATTTTTTTACTTTATTATACATTATGTTCTCTTTTCGGTAAACTTTTCATTGACTTGTGTACACAGATTGTGAGTGCAACCCTGAGGTCCCATAATAGCCCCCTCCCCACTCCTCCAGAAATCCCCACAAAAAATTGGTTGTACTTTTTAACTTCATAGAAGTGGAATTATAGTACATGCTGTTGTCTGTCAGCTTTTTTTGCTTGTGAGAATCTCCGTGTTTATTGTAGCAATGTAATTGTCATTGCTGGATACGATATCATTTCACAGTTTGTCCGCTCTCCTCCTGGTGGGGGTTGGGGGGTTTCTAGTTTGGGGCTACTGCAGATAGTGCTGCTGTGGTAACGGTGTGCACCTGCTGTGTTCTGTTGGAGTCATGCCCAGCAGACACCGTGTAGTGGGGTACACATCCTCATGAAACAGATTGGGGATGTTCCCTCTTTTTCTTCTCTAAAAAAAGTTTGTTGAAGATTGATAGTATTTCTGCTTATCATTTGAAAAATTTGTCTAATGGGTTGTCTTTTTGTTGTCTATTACTTTCTCTGGCAGTCTTTCAGTTTTTCTTTTGGAATTTGGTTTTCAGCAGTTTCGGTGTGGTAGACCAGATATGATCCTTGACGTTGTGACTTGATGCTTTTCATCAATTTTGGAAAATCCCAGGCTGTTATCTTTTCATATTGTACTTCTCTTTCTCTTTTCTCCTGAGATTCACCTTATGTGTATATTGGACATATATTTCTAACGCTCTTCTATTTTCTATCCCTTTCACTCTCTTCTTCAGTCTGATATTTTCTGCCGACCTGTTTTCTGATATACAAATCTTTCTGCCGTTTTCAAACAGTATCAAGATTGTCTGTTATTTACTTAATTCTTTAAGTTTTTTTTTTTTTTTGTAGATTCTATTTTTCTGGTGAAATTCTACATCTTGCTCTATGTTTTCTTGAGCATTCTATCACAACTGCTTTAAATACCGTGGCAACTCTGATTATTTGATTTTCTGATTATCTGGACCATTTGTGAGTCTGCTTTCCTTTTCTGTTTTTTTCTCTGTGTTTTGTTGCTTGTATATCTTTGTCCATTTGTGCTGCTCTAACAGTACCTGAGACTGGGTAATTTACAACGAACAGAGATTTATTTCCTATAGTTCCAGAGGCTGTGAAGTCCAAAGTCAAGGGGCTCATGGGGCTGTGAGGTCCTTCTTGCTGCCTGATCCTGTGGTAGAAGGTGAAGGAGTCGAGAGGGTCCCAGAGTGAGTGAGAGCGAGAACTAGAAAAACAAGAGGAGGAAAACAGAGGAGAGAGAGAGGACCCATCAGTGTCAGGAGCCCACTCCCAAGCTAGTAGCATTGATCAAGATCCTCCCTCTCACTGTTGTTGCATTGGGGATGAAGTTTCCAGCACAGGAACTTTGGGGGACACATCCAAACCATAACATAGGATTTAAATAATTGTAAAGAGGTAAAGAGTTCTGCTACTGAACTGTTTGAGATCCCTGTTCTGAGGCCTCGTCATTGCCCAGTTTTAGCGGGAAGAGAAGTGGCAAGTGGCAGGAGTCTACAGGTTGGGGACTGCACCTTTTTTTGAGGTACCTTTTTTATGAACAGTGTTTATTGGAACATGGCCAGACTTGTTCATTCACCTGTAGTGTGTGGCTGCTTTTGTGCGAGAGCCGCAGAGCTAGAGCGGCCTCGTGGCCCCCAAAGCCTGATGGTCACTAGAGCATTGGTTTTGTATATGGGGTTTCTAGTTGTTTTTAGTAGTAGGGATGATTTGCCACAGCTGCTGCAAGTGGAAGTCCTTTACTGTGCATTTGTTACATAAGTTATAGCTGTTTCTTTTCTTTCTCAATTATTGTAACATCTAAAAATTATGTAACAATTACTAAGTCTTTTTTTATGAAAAATTTACAATTAGTCCAGAATTTAAAACAAGTTTAGTATTAAATCTTAGGGCATTTCTCACATAACTAATTTGGAGAAATAATACTGTTCAGGCTTGGTGGCTCACACTTACAATCCTAATAACACTTTGGGAGGCTCAACATTGCTTGAGCCTAGGAGGTGAAGACCAGCCTGGGCAATATAGTGAGACCCATCTCTACAAAAATTTAAAAAATTAGCTGGGTGCTATGACATGTGCCTGTAGTCCCAGCTATGTGGGAGGCTGAGGTAGGAAGATGGCTTGAACTCAAGAAGTTGAGACTGCAGTGAGCTATGGTCTCACCAGTGCACCCCAGCGTTGGTGACAGTGAGACCTTTTCTCTGAAAACAAAAAAGAAAAACAATTCAGTATTGTACTTATTCTCGATTTTGAAATAAGTCGGTGCCATGGGAGTGTGGACGAAATACAGTCCTTTCTAGTTTCTGGAAGTGCTAAAAGCTGAAGTTTCTCATTTTTCAGAAGAACAAGTGTATTAGGAAAGTTACACTTTCCGCCTTTGTTCCGCAGTACGTATGTTTATGTTTCTTATTCTGCCATTATTTATAGTAGTTGAAATTCACAAAATAATCTTTTTATTTATATTTTAAGTAGGTATATTTATAGATTATATCAGAAAACAATGATAAGCTTTCAGGTTACAATCAGTAGAAATACTGAGTGGCATTCTCTTCTGTGTCAGGTTTAAATTATGGATATTCGATCAAAATAAAGGAGGACTGTCGGTTATTACTCCTGTGTCTCTTTCTTAGTGACCACCTCTGACCACCCAACTTAATACTTCTCCTTCTCCCTGCCCCAGACCTGTGTGTACCTCCTCTCTGCTTTATTTCCTCCGGGGCATCTGTGCCTCCTGTGTGTTACCTGCCCCGTGTAGAAGGGCAGCTCCACCAGACACGGCTTATCCGCTTAGCTTGGTGTGTGTCACTGGGGCCCAGGATGTTCAGTGCTTGTGGAATGAAAAATAGAGTAGAATAATGAAGGGGATTAAATATGTGACATTTTAGTATGTTGACTGTGTTATATGTTACTAAGGAATTGAAGCTGATGTATAAACATTGTGTCTACACATTATACTATTTTATGATTATTGTATGGAACTTTATAATACAAAATTTCTTTGCAGTACAATTTTGAGAAGTAGGGTAACTCTCTTCTAACTTAAAAGTATCCTAAAAATTATTTATTTAATTAAATTGTTAATTAGTGAATAACAGTTTCAAATATAGCAGTTTTTTTTTCTTTTAGTATTGCTTTGCATACTCTAGGCTTAAATGGTATAAACACTGTATTTTGACTTCTTATTCAATTTTAGATTACCAAAGAAGATTTTGCCACGTTTGATTATATACTATGTATGGATGAAAGCAATCTGAGGTAATCCTGTTTTTGAAGAATATGTCTGTTCAACTCTCAGTTCAGTAATGGGCCAAGTAATTTGTTGTCCAGATTTACTTTTTCTATTTTAAAGGTTTTAATAGTGATGATCACTATATGTGGAATTATTTATTTAGAACAGCAAAAAAACTTAGTAATCTAGAATTGTCCCTTAGGTATTTTCAAGGAAATACACCTTAGAAAAGGGAAAGTCCAGTTATTAATAGCATCATTTAATTGGAAAACTAGCTTGACTGTGATAGTTTTGTATCAGGCACATTGTTCTACATGAGAGCAGTTTTGTTATTTTTGCTGTAATGATTCCTGGACAGGGCAGTGTTTTATTGATTCTCAGGCCAAAGCTCTGCAACCGTAGGTTCCTATTATTACCCCATCTTGTGAAAGAAGGACGTGAGAAACGGTAATGTTAGGTTGTGTCCCCAAGTTCACACAGCTAGCATGTGGTAGATGTGGTGGGATTTAAGCCTAGGCTCAGTGAGGCAGAGCCCTGCCGTCCTGCCTCAGTCACCACTCTCCTGACCTGCCCCAGTCCTCTACTTAGGGTGTCGTTGGAAAGTAATCATAATTTAATGTCACTCCAGGATTCTGACTTACATCACTACTTTTTCATAAATAGTACTTGTTTTTGATGAAGATAAACTATTTGTTCTTTTAATTACTTTTGTACAAATGAACAGATAGGGATGTACCAGTTTTAATTATTTTTTATTAATCAGGACCTTCATTAAAATGCACGCATTTTTTAATTTTATTTTTCAGTCCTTATTCTGTTCTCATTGTTTTCGCTGACACCATAGCTTATAGGTATCGTAAAAACACCTTTTTAGGAGACGCCATTTGCTTTGATCGGCACTGAGCACTGTGTTTCTTTGTGTGTGGGGCAAGCAGAGTTCCTGCAGCCTCACGTTTGCATGTGCTGTTCCTCTGCCTGGAAGCTCCTCCTTGCTGCTTGGGCCATTCGGCTCCTATTTGCCTTTCGTGGGTCAGCTTAAATTCATTTCTTTGTAGAGGTATTCCACTACCCTGTCACTAGGCCAGATTGTGCATTAGACTTAGGCCTGCCCGCAGTTCTCGTCCCTGCGCCTACTCCTGAGCTGCTGTGAAACTTCACGCACGGGGCTTTTGGCTGTTCCTTTCCCACATAAAGCACATGCCTGACTCATCGACTCATCTGTCGTAGGTGCTCAGTCGAAATGTTAAATAAATGGAGGCACTTAGTTCAGTTTGCCTTTTTCTTTTGTAGCAATGTGAAAGCTAAAGGTGGAAATCTAGAGTGAAGCTGAGTTTTCAGCTTGGGCAGAGGCTTGAGGAGTAAAAGAAGGAAGAGTAATTAAGGAGTGGGTCGTGCTGCGGGAAGTGCTGTCAAGACACCTGAGGATGGAATTGGTAGCCCTCTGTTTGGGGACTGGTTCAGATGGTGTTTTGGGTTCCTTTCTGTCACCTTTGTTTAATCTCTGAAACTTGATTGATTGTCTCAAAATATATTTCGTGGGAGAAAATATAATTATTGTATATTTTGTATAACAGAATCAGTGAGAATAAGCTGCTGTCGCAAACTCTCTTGCCTAGAGAGAGGGCAGTGGCATACAGCTGCAGAAGGGGCCACACGGGCCTGCTGAGTGTTCTGTTTCATTTCAAATTAGGTCATCCTGTCTTGATTTTGATATGGATGTTTCATAAGACCCTAGCAGATGTGCCTGTTTAACTTGAAACCATAGATCAGAAAACTAAGTTCATGTTTCAATTTTACAGAGATTTGAATAGAAAAAGTAATCAAGTTAAAACCTGCAAAGCTAAAATTGAACTACTTGGGAGCTATGATCCACAAAAACAACTTATTATTGAAGATCCCTATTATGTAAGTACAGTTCACGTTTTAGGGCTAATGTGATGACCCACCACGTCGGTATCCTGCAGTATTAAATAACAGAGTAGATTGTGGTAAGGATGTTTTTGTTATGCAGGTTTTGCCATTTTCTTCTTTTCCTGTCCATTTAGGGGAATGACTCTGACTTTGAGACGGTGTACCAGCAGTGTGTCAGGTGCTGCAGAGCGTTCTTGGAGAAGGCCGACTGAGGCAGGTTCATGCCCTGCTGTGGCCAACCTGACTAGACCCCACCCTGAGGTCCTGCATTCTCAGTCAGTGTGTAATCATGTTCCAGAGCCCAAAGGCCCAGCTGTTTGTTCAGTTGACTTACTGTTTCTTACCTTAAAAAATATTGTAGATGGAAATCAGTTATGTTTGGCAGAAGAATCAATAAAATTATTTGATTCTGACAGTTTATGGGGTATATTAAGCATTCTTAGACTAGTTGAACATCTCACTTTGCCCCAATTACAAAAATAGTAGAACAAGCAACATAAAACATAATGAAGGAAAACCTCACTTGAAGGCCCAGGTCAGCATCTAAGCCCGCTGAGACTTAGATAGTCAAGTCTACCTCTTCAGTAGGTTCGTGTGGATGGCCTGATGGGGGGCAGGTGCCCTCTGCTCCCTGTGCTACCTCTCTCTTGCCCAGGGCCTTTTATGGATTGACAGTAGCCCTCTCCATAGGAGCTCACAGTCTAGATTAGAAGTATTTTAATTTATACACACCCATAGTGCACACTTGTATATTGAAAAGATAGGGAAGAGAGAAACATTTATGGAAACAGTCGTTAGCACCTTCAATACTTCATGATTTTTGTCGAGTTTACTTCATGAGGAGGTCAGCTCCTTTGCTCCCATCTGAACCACTTTGCCTCTGAAACTTAATTATATCCAGAAAGAAGGACGCTTGTATGCTAGTCTAACTATGGTCAGTTGAGGAATATGACACTTTTTATATGCACATGTAACCCAAATGTCCAATATAAATTGGCTTATTTTTAAAAATAATTTTAAAAGTTGGGAAACGCTTTATTATTTGGCATGCTTAAATATTAAGTATTCTTCATCAGCATTTAATAAATGTATAGGCAGATATAGGTAATTTCTGTGTATTGAGATAATGTCGAAATCATGAGTATTTCAAAATAAACTGGGGAGTTATAAAAATACAACTAGAGATGTAAGTCTGGTGTCTGCCTGTTTTTTTTATTGACAAGGAAGCATTTGAACACATCGTTTTGTCCCTTTTACATGATCTATGATGTTATGTGTGCATGTTTTATCTTCAGGATGAGAAAGTAAAATGATGAAAATAAGCACATTGCTGCCGCATATCATCATGTCTAGTTTCTGAAAGAAGTTTGAGGTCCTACAGCTGGAAATGTCCTTGCCTAATACCATCCTCTGGACATGTTGCCTCTACGCTGTGCCCTCCTGTGCAGTGACGCACAGCTGCCTGGCCAGGACATCTGCACTCCTGACCAGTATCGTCAGGGTCCCAGGCAGTGCCAGGGGGAGGAGACATGTTTGATCCTTGACTCACTAGTGCCTGGAGGATGAGCTGCTGCCAGATGAAAGTGAGTAGTTTCCCCACTGTATCATGTGGAAGTGCCACGCTGTCTTCATAGGAAGAAAGTTTGCAGACTCAGTGAGCCTTGCTCTTGTTGGAATTACTCAGACATACAGAAAACTTAGGGGATTAAATATTAATAGATTGGATATTTGAACATGATATCCTTAAAACATAAAAAATTGGGAAGAAAAGGTCAAGTAATGAGCTGTAATTAGAAAACAGAATTAAATAAGAACACTTCAAAAGTTACACCCTGTTCTCTTCATTCAGTAATCGCTTTTAATTATCTCAAAGTCAAAATTTCTTACTCTTCTATTCCTTTATGTTTGGAAATAAAATCCTATAGTTTTTCTTTAATGTTTATAAATACACATCCTCAAACAAATCCTAGGACTCTTGACTATTCTGTCCTTATGGCTCTACCCAGACAATACCATCTGCCGACAAGGGCTCGTATGAATGGAGAAACACTGCTTTGCTGAATTCCGCTTTTTAAATTGGATCCAGTTAGATCTGTTTAAAATACATCTACATGTAAAATTTTGAGACTGCTTAGAAGTCTTAAGGTTCCTCCTAGTTTTGCATTTTCATGATTACAAAATCGCTTGGGAAATAATGGATACAACCTTATTTGGAATATTTCCCAGCAAATCAGGGCCTATCTGAAGAAATTATGTCACCAATATATAGTAGCCTCTACTTTAAAAAAATGCTAATTATCCCTTAGAGAAATTCTTAGGCTTCAAGTTTTCATTTGTTTATGACTTTTATATTCTGTGACCTTTTGCCAGTGTCATGGTCTCAGTAAATCTGAAGACACGAATTCCCAACAGTGAACCTGTTAGAGAGGTAGAGAGTCACTTTGAAGACTATTCATTATAACAAACACTTCATTTATTACTTGTGTTTATTTACAGTATTTACATATTGCACAATAGCTGGAATACTATTTTACATTTATTATACAAAGGACCAACAGAATTAGCCACAGATTTACACTCCACTGTTCCTAAAACATGACCAAAATTTTAATTTTTCATGCCATTCCAAATAATACTCTGAGAATTTAACAGTGAAAGTAATACGGAATATTAAATTATGTTATATGAAAATATACTTTAAGATTCTGCTTATGTTTCTAAAGAAACATTTTTTGTGATTTCAGCTAATCAAGAAAATGAAATATTCTCTGTTTTATAGCACTACACATCAAACGTGGAGCATTCCTTTTGTGGTTGTTTTTAAAATAAGAGTGACAGATATCACTGTCAATACACTGATTTATCGAATATGTATCTGCAAACACTGTCAACAACATACAAAACTCAAAGGACTTATTGAAGAGTCTGTCTGCAAAAATAAATCTCTTGTCCATGAGGGGATGTGTATAAAGATAGTTCTGTTTCCCTGTTGGTTTCCAAGGCACTTCTCATGGCTCCTGATGTGCTGCTCCTGTACAGTCTGCTCACTGCTGAAAACAAATACATTGCGTTTGATATGACTATCCACACTTCTTCCTGTGAATTCCAGAAGACCTGTCACTTCAGTTAGGGGACACAACATGTTTATAAACATAGGCAGTCTCAGAGTGCGTCTGTATGTCTCTGTGTTACAAAAAGTGTAGTCTACTGTATTTTGAGAAATAACTTCTTTCTGCAGTTACTACATGGCTGCGATGCTAAAGCAATGAAAGTCGTCACAGATACATGTGGATACTTATTAAAGCTTGAAGAAGAGTGCTTAGTCTTACATATGCTATCAGAATCCTCAGCAGTCCAGGCCACAGGGATTTACCTGGCAGTTCTGCAACCTCAGTGTTCACAGAGTTGGTAAAGCTAATAATCAAGATTAGACAGTTGTTTCTAGCATTCTTTGTTGGAATATCTAAACCATTGGTATGCTGTTTATTTTTAAAAGAATGATAAACTTCGAGGTTACTAAGATGAGGCTGCATTTGGGAGAGTGCACTGGGCACTCACTACTCAGAACTCCTTTTGTTTGACAGTATTCCAGAGCTCAGGCTTCTGATTGACTGACCTGGAAGTCCAACAATGAAGTGTGTCTGTGACTGTTAGGGAGGGTAGGTGGGGACATTGTTCTCTTTGGCTGAAGAGGTCTATTAATGAGCTTCAGAATGCAGCAAATGGATTTGCTCTGAGATGAGGGCAGAGCCCTTCCTGCTAAACACCTGCTTTTCTCAGGCTCTGGGCCTTTCTTTACAAAGACAAGGTCATGGTTTGCAGTCTTGCCCTGCCGTCCTTGTGTGTCAGGACAGAAGTGCGTGTGGCAGGTTGTTAACCAGCAGAACCGGGACTGCAGGGCCTTCCTGATGCCACACCGTCGCACTAGTGTGGACACCCTGGGATGCCTGCCCTGCCTTCTGGTGTCTCACTGAGGTCTGCAAAGCACAGAGAAACCCTGGACTGTATCTACACTGTGGTGACCAGCTAGGTAACAATTTGCTGTTGCCGTTTAAAACTTTTGGACTTTGAAGAAAGTATCTTTAAAAAAAAAAATAGAAGTTACGAAATTATAGTTAGGAGGGTATCAATGTTTTAAACTATACCTATGTCTTGGCCAAAATGAACCCAGTTACAGCTGCGACACCTGTGGCTGTCAGGCAGGTGGCCTTTTGGGAACAGAAGCTTGCGAGCCTGGGCCTTGCCCTGTTACCTTTACCTGCATCTCATCGTCAGTCAGGCTCTGATGTGATTGTCCGGTGATGGGGAGAGTGATGTAAAGGGTGCTGGAGACTATCAAGGGGATTCCGCCACAGCTTTTCTGCGGGGCATCACTGTGGCATTTGCAAAGCATGACGTGCCATGCAGAGACCCATCCAGGAGCCTGAGTCCCACTGAAATGACCATGTCCTTCAGTGTAACTGCAGCTGCCTCCAGCAGCAGCCAGCAGAGGGGAGGCAGGGGTTGGCTAATGGACATGTAGACAGAGTAGCTCTTCGAGTGGCTAAAACAGTGGGGAACTGGCTCTCCTCACTTGTAAGTAAGTGGAAAATTTCCAAGGATGTCCCTGGCTCATCTCTGGGAACAATGGGATTTAATTATAAAGAAATACCTAAAAAAAAAAACTCATCTCCCCTGGCATATCACCTTGGGTGACAGGATCTGTTCACTGATTTAAAGAGAAGAAAGTCCGTGTGACATACAGGCAGTGGATGAGCGGCTCGAGAGAACTGGAAAGAGCAGGGACCTGGGGGGGCATTACTGCACAGCACTTCCCAGCTTTGCCTGGCATTGAAACCTTCACTGTCTCCAAAGAAAAAGTGCAGTGAAACTGTGCAAAACGCAGTCTCAACCCGCCATTACCCACCGGCCTGCCTCCCCCAGTGCCATTCCTCTCATTAGCAGCAGTTTCTTCTACTGGGAAAGATGCTTCCTGCTGGTGTTGGGGTCATGCAGGCAACCCCTTCTGCTGCTGCTACCTAAATATTCATAAGCACTGCTTCTCCACAGAGAGCACATCTGTATAGGAAAGAGCACTACCTACCCTCATCCATTTTACATGAGACAAACTAGAGTAACCACTAGAAAAATACTCCCTTTCATGAATGTGCTCTGAACAGCTGTCGATGGGCAGGAAGCCTGTCTGTCTTGTGCTGGTGTAGCCAGCATTGGGCAGTGCCCACACATACAAGACGTAGTAAGTATAAAATGGGTGAAATTACAGTGGCATCCTGCTGTCTAACGTGACTGAATTCTGTGGCATTTGTGTCAGGAAAATAAAACCTTACCCTTCAAAACATCCGCTGATGGTTGCTGTTACATGTTGCATATCAGCCCTCGAGGGGCCAAGGTACAAAGTTCAGTTCATAAATGTGGTATGCATTTACGTTTTACTATTAGAGGCTATGAAAAAGAAACCATTGATAGAAACATTTAAAGAGGATAGCTGTTCTTTATGAGCTTACTACAACTCAAACATTTACCAGATGTGATCATTTGAATTTACATGGACAATGTTGGTCATCTACTTAACTTGTGAGTGTTAGTGAATGAATGAATGCCTCAAAGTAAACAGGGACAATTTTAGTCTGTTCCTGGCTTATGCACTCAGTCATATGCTGACACTGGCGGATTTGCTGTGTTTCAGAGCAGGACCCACTCAGTGCCCACATGCCGTGCGGTGAGCAGTGAACAGCAGCTGCCTGGGCAGTGTCGACAGGTCAGTAGGGCAGCTTTCAGCACTGAGATAAGTGTGTTGGACCTTCTCTACTTAGAATACGGCTACCTCAGCCAAAGAATGAGTGTTCCTAAACTCCTGTGAAGTTTTCATGTCCCAAGCGGGATTCCCGTCTTTGGTATGTGCTCCAGTGCGCTTCTGTCCAAGCTTACCTTATCCTCCATGCACACTGGACTGACAGCCAGCCGGGTAAGAAGCCTGGCGCATCTTTTATAGTCTATGGTGAAAATAAATCACAGACCCTTGTCAGTTACTTAAAAAACAAATAAATCACTTTTTTTTTTGCAAGTATATCAGCTACTAAAGCCATTTATTTCTTTAAATATCTGAATTCCCTGGAAGCAATACGGAGTCTAATCTGCAGGCATGGGTTCTAAGTTGTTGACTTAATAATTTATGGTACTTCAAGGGCTTAAGCTTCAATGGCAGAAGTGGGATGATGTAAGTGGGGCTGCGGAGGGAGGAGGGACAGACACGAAGACTGCATGGCTGAGCTGGCTGCCCATTGCTTCTCTCAGAAATAGCTTCCTACGTGACAATCCTTCCATACCCTTGTGCTACTTTTGGGTCATGTGCAGGCTGAATCCCAACTTGAGTTGACCATGGGACAAAGCCTTCTGCCTGTAAATTCTAAAGAAAGTGGGTCAAAAGTCAGCAGAGCAGAGACCTGGAGTGGATGGCGAGCAGAAGCAATGTGCCCATTTCTAAGCGGAGACTAATACTCCTTGGTATCGTACACAGTCTCCCATTCCACTATTCTGGCCATGCTGCCTGTAGAAATTGAGAAGGTGTAGTGGTCATGGCCATAAGGGAAAATATGTCCTCAGGGTGAAGATCTATGGAAAGCTGAAATCGTTTGTAAATTATTACAGTTTATTTCTCAAGAATAGAAAAATCTTATTAAAAGGAAGAATTTATATCCAACTGAAAATCTGAGTTGAACGGGTAGATTGACAATGATAAATGTATACAATATGTTAGATAAGTAGCCAGCTCGACTTTCAAAAATATGCCTCCTAAATACTTATGGCACATATTGTTAGGGATTTTTCAAACAGAAAATGTTTTTCAAAGGGAAAAAGGATGCCCAAACAGTGGCCCTGGGTCATCTGAACGCCTGGCTTTCTCTTTCACAAGCAGCATCATGCCTTTTAGAATGTAGTTTTCCTAAACAGATTCCACATCATGAATGCAGTGGATTGTGTGATTTCAATGGCTGATCTAATCAATGAATTGTAAAGACTTCCACTTATGTCATGTCCAGGCTCCCAGCTGACCACATCCTGCTTAACCCAGGTGTTTTCAGCCATGTCTTGCAAACCTTCATGTGCAGACCAATCATCTGGGGATCTTACTAAAATGCAGATTTTGTTCAACAAGTCTAGATGGGACTTACTTCTGCATTCCCAGCAAGCTCCCCATAGGACCACACTTTGAGAAGGCACTAAGTTCCTTCAGGTCTGATATTCCAGGATCCCAAGGACTTTCTTTTATATGGCCTAACGCAGTAAAGAAGTGGTCCAACTTCAGCTCTCCAGTTCTTTATGGGCTAAGAAGAGGCAGAAAGCAACAAAGTAGCCTCCCATCTCAAGGCACAGATCTCTCCGCCTTCTCCCTCTCCATGGCCCAGGCTGAGCTGTGATCAGGAGCTTAGTATCACAAAGCCGAGTTGCTATGAGCAAAAGGAGGTATCTAATGGGGCGCAGCTTGATGCCCTGGAAAAAGGCCTGCAGAGTCAACCATGAGATCTGTGCCTTAGTTTTGCTGATATCTGACAGCACAAAAGCAATTCCTCATCCATAAATGAAGAGATGAGACTGAATGACTCAGAGGTCACTTCCAAATTTGGAATCTGTGATCCTATTACTGTAAGGAAATATGTAATATAAAATATATGCACATCAAAACAATACAAACGATAAAATTTTCTGGCCCCAAGAGCCACATTAATGATTCCCAAACAGGTGATTACATTCCAAAAGAAGAAAACAGAGTACTAGTGTGCCAGGTCCACATGGAAGGGTGCGGCCCAGCACCAAGAATATGAAAACGAAACTCTTCAGGAAGTGTGTGCTGCTGGCCTTGGCGTGAGGATGGTGTCGCTAAAGCCATGGTCAGAGGGGCCGAGGCTGCGTTCCATGTGTCTTCGTGCTGTTGGTGCAAATGCCAAGCATGCATGTGCCTCAGCCTTGTCCAAAACGTGCTGGTGATACTACTTCAGTGGGCTGAGGCTCACTGGCATGCACCTGGCACACAGAAGAAGCCCTATACATGATGGTTATTATTATTCGAAGTAATTTTGCTGCCTAAACAAAGAAAAGCACTTATACTTTATGTACATTGGCTTTTTGTTTGTTTGTTTTTGGAGGGGGAAGGCAGGACAGCAAATCTGGTCTGCTGCCTGGTCCGGCTGGAGAGCCCTGATGACAGCAGTTAGCAGGATGCCTAGTGTCTCTGCGTGACTTTTCTGTAAGCCTTAAATGAAATGAAAGTTGGAGTCTGAATTAAAAAAAAATGGGTTAGGGCCCTATCACTGTAGCTAATAAAGCTTCAGTGAAGAGAACAAGGAGCTGCTTTTGGAGAAATAAAATGTTTTGTTATGAATAAATAGCCAGAAGCAGGTTAGGAAGACTGAAAAGAAACAGGAGAGAAAGCTACTGCTGAGAGCTAGGTTGATAAGGGCAACTCTGCATTTCTGAAGGAGTGATGGAGCCAGCCAGAGAAACAGTTTTGAAATCACAATGAAATTCTTGGGTGATGAGGTTATAATTACTGATGGGAAGAAAAAGTTTGCTCAGAGCAGTGGAGATGATCCAGGTCAATCTTATTCTTGGAGTCATTTTAGCAACTCATTCTTAACATCTGTTTGACTCCCATAGTAGAGTACGCACAAACATGGGCATTGGAGGAGAATTAACAACAGAAGGAGAATCGGAGTTCAGCCCATCCCAAGAGCCTATTATTTCAGTGACTGTAAATAATTTCCAGTTTGGCGTTAGCTGATGCAGAAGTTAGTTATCTTCTGCAATGGTCTGGCCATCTTGGCCCCTAACTCCATAGTGAGGAAGGAATAGGCAAATTTGAGCTAAGAAGGCAGGGGCCTATATGAGGAAATGGAAAGAGGTGGGAACCGCTGCCTGCACTGCGCTTGCATTTTATAAAAATTCAATGCTGTTACTTACATGCAGGAATGGTGCAGTCTCTGGTGTTGTGATAAAGTCTATGGAAGTGTTTGCTGCACTTTGGACTAAAATAAAGAGGGCCTGGAACATGGAAGAAGAAACAGATCATGAAGACTCACAGGTACAAAGGAACTCTGGGAGAGGTGAGGAACGAGGAGGAAACTTACCTGTAAGGTGTTTTAGAAACTTGTCCTTCATCCTCAGATCTCGAGGAACAATTTCTGTTTCAGGGAAAAGAAAGTAGTATATTACCTGAAGGAAGCATTTTTTAAAAATGTGACCTTAAGTGAATGTTGAAGAAAATTGGAAACTCCACATTAGCCAAGTTGCTTTACACAAAATAAAAAAGGCTGGGGCCCTGGATTGCAACACACGACAGTGAAGAAGACTCAGTCAGTGTCAGGGACATTTACTTTCCTTGAAATAACAGTAACTACTCCTGAAACTCCAGGATTATGTCTGCTCTCTACCCCATGGGATGCAGACAGAGACCACGAAGTTATAGAGGTAAGAAAACGTTTTTTTTTTCTTTTAAACATTTAACTTACAGTGAATAAGTCACTTTTAGGCACTTTAATTTTGAGGACCTTGGGAATCAAATCCCACAACATTTCAGAGTTTTTAGAGAACACTTGACCCATCAAAAAAAAAATGGGTTATAGAATATTAATTTTTCTAGATAAATATTTAGAATAAGGATTAAAAGACCACGTTTCAGTGAGGTGTAAATTAGTGGGAATATGCATTAATCTGGTTTGTAGGGTAAGAATCCTAGGGAAAGACTCAGTCAGGCAAACTTCCACCACCAGGGTTCTCCGCAGACAGTGGGTGGGGAGAACCCTGCGGGTGTTCTTGAGTTCAGCTTTGTTTTTGCGTGTTTACAGCCCTCTCCATCTTCACTCCCCCGTTCAGGGCTCCTGGCTGAGCCCCGACTGTGTGAAGTCAGGCCCTCTGAAGAGGAGCATTGGCATCCCTTGCAGGGCATCCCCTAGTGAGAGTCTTCATTCACTCCTAACTTGACGCGGCCGGGGTAAAGCTGACCTTATCATATTTGACCTGATTGTGTCACAAAAGCATTAGAAGCTTTCATGCTTTCCTGGGAAATTCCCCGTGGGCCGCCACTCTGGGCAGGGCCACGAAGGAGCCTGGATGCTTCCTTCTCAGTTGGGAACGCTTTGCTGGAAATGCTTCCATTTCCAAAGTGACGGGTGACAGTTCCGTGCGGAAAGCACCAACCCGCACAGCAGCTCACGCGCGCCGGGAGGAGACCGGGCGCTTCTCTGCCAGGCCTCATGCGCGGACCTATTGCTGCTATTTTCTTTTTCTTAAAAAAAAAAAAAA